GCTGGGGGGCATCGGGTGGGTGGCTCTGTGCCGTGCCAGGTGCAGGGTCTGCTAGCTGGGTGCTGGCAGGCTTGCACCTGGCACGGGCACCGTAGCCAGCCCGTGCCCCTTTAAGGGGTCCGGGGCCGGGAGGGGGGCATAGAGTTTCCCTGGTGTTGGCCAGAGTGGCCACCAGGGAAACCTGGGAAGCCTTAGCCTCCCACTAGTTCGAACTAAAGGGCTACACAGCCCTTAGTTCGAACTAGCTAGTTCGAACTAGGCGTTAGTCCTCGTAAAATGAGGTTTACCTAGTTCGAACTAAGCGCTCCGTTAGTTCGAATTAAGTTCGAACTAACGGAGCGCTAGTGTAGCGCCTAGGAAAGTTAGTTCGAACTAACGTCCGTTAGTTCGAACTAACTTTGTAGTGTAGACATACCCTAAGTCCCAGAGGATTCCTACTTCCACATTTCTATTGCACCACACTACAGACGGTTCCTCTGCTTTATGGTGGGCCAGGACCACTATCAGTTTACGGCCCTCCCTTTTGGCCTGAGAAAGCAGGGTATCCAGGTCTTTCACTACCTGGACAACTGGCTTCTCCAAAGCTCTTCTTCAGATCAGCTGCTGGCCCACATCGCTGTAGTGCAGGCCCATTTTTGAGAGCTGGGGCAGCTCCTGAATATGGCCAAGTCGACCCTTTTCCCCACCCAGGTTATAGAGTTTGTGGGCGCCAACCTGGATTTGGTGTCAGCCACAGCCTCCCTTCTCAGATCCTGGGTCTGCTCCTGAATGTGGCCAAATCGACCCTTGTTCCCACCCAGGTCATAGAGTTTGTGGGGGCCCACCTGCACTCTGTGTCGGCCATGGCCTCCCTTCCTAGATCCTGCTTCCTGACGATCAAGGTGGACATCCAGGGCACGTGGGAGTTCCCGATGACCACGGCCAGCGCTTGCATGCACCTCCTGGGACTGATGCACCTACATCATTCAACTCGCCAGGCTCTGCATGCGCCCTCTATTGATGTGGCTTGCGCAGGTGCACACTCCATCCTAGCACTCTTGGGACAGAGTGGTGACAGTTCCACCCAATGTCCTGTGCTCTCTGGACTGGTGGACCCAGGAGGAGGTGGTCTGCGCCAGGGGCATGTTCTCCAGACTTCTGCCAACCCTCAGGTTAGTGACGGACACATCCAACACCAGTTGGGGGGGGGCCACCTCGGAGACATGCGGACCCAAGGTTATGTGGTCAAGGGACAACCTCTCCCTGCATATCAATGTCAGGGAGCTGCAGGCAGTCCGCCTTGCCTGTGTGGCCTTTCTCCCTCGGCTCAGGGGCAAAATAGCCCTTATTCTTTCTGACAATATGCTGGCAGTCGCCTATATCAACAGGCAGGGTGGGGCCTGCTTCCCTCCCCTGTGTTGGGAAGCCCTTCAGCTCTGGGAGCTCTGCATCGGGGCGGATATTCACCCGGTTGCCTCCTATCTCCCGGCATCCCAGAACACTCTGGCGGATCTGCTGAGCAGGTCTTTCGCCAGCCACGAGTGGCCTATCAGAGGGGGACATGGCCCTCCAAGGGGGTTTCCCTGTCTGGACCTGTTTGCCACCAGGCGGAACAGGAAGTGCCCGAGGTTCTGTTACCTCATGGGGCTGGGGCTGGGGCGGGGCTCCCTGGGAGATGCACTCATTACCGTAATTTAGCAAATATAACCCACGGGTTATATTAGTTTTTACAAACCCTGCAACCCCCCCCCCCGTGGGCTATGGGGCTGGGGCTGGGGCGGGGCTCCCTGGGAGATGCACTCATTACCGTAATTTAGCAAATATAACCCACGGGTTATATTAGTTTTTACAAACCCTGCATATCATAGAATCATAGAATAATAGGACTGGAAGGGACCTCGAGAGGTCATCGAGTCCAGCCCCCCGCCCTCAAGGCAGGACCAAGCTCCGTCTACACCATCCCTGACAGATGTCTATCTAACCTGTTCTTAAATATCTCCAGAGAGGGAGATTCCACCACCTCCCTTGGCAATTTATTCCAATATTTGACCACCCTGACAGTTAGGAATTTTTTCCTAATGTCCAATCTAAACCTCCCCTGCTGCACTTTAAGCCCATTACTCCTTGTCCTGTCCTCAGAAACCAAGAGGAACAAATTTTCTCCTTCCTCCTTGTGACACCCTTTTAGATATTTGAAAACCGCTATCATGTCCCCCCTTAATCTTCTTTTTTCCAAACTAAACAAGCCCAGTTCATGAAGCCTGGCTTCATAGGTCATGTTCTCTAAACCTTTAATCATTCTTGTTGCTCTTCTCTGTACCCTTTCCAATTTCTCCACATCTTTCTTGAAATGTGGCGCCCAGAACTGGACACAGTACTCCAGCTGAGGCCTAACTAGTGCAGAGTAGAGCGGCAGAATGACTTCACGAGTTTTGCTTACAACACACCTGTTGATACAACCTAGAATCATATTTGCTTTTTTTGCAACAGCATCACACTGTTGACTCATATTCAACTTGTGGTCCACTATGACCCCTAGATCCCTTTCCGCCATGCTCCTTCCTAGACAGTCGCTTCCCATCTTGTATGTATGGAACTGATTGTTCCTTCCTAAGTGGAGCACTTTGCATTTCTCTTTATTAAACTTCATCCTGTTTACCTCTGACCATTTCTCTAACTTGCTACGGTCATTTTGAATTATGTCCCTATCCTCCAAAGAAGTTGCAACCCCACCCAGTTTGGTATCATCTGCAAACTTAATAAGCGTACTCTCTATCCCAATATCTACATCATTGATGAAGATATTGAACAGTATGGGTCCCAAAACAGACCCTTGAGGAACTCCACTTGTTATCCCTTTCCAGCAGGATTTAGAACCGTTAACAACCACTCTCTGACTACGGTTATCCAGCCAATTATGCACCCACCTTATCGTGGCCCTATCTAAGTTATATTTGCCTAGTTTATCAATAAGAATATCATGCGAGACCGTATCAAATGCCTTACTAAAGTCTAGGTATATGACATCCACCGCTTCTCCCTTATCCACAAGGCTCGTTATCTTATCAAAGAAAGCTATCAGATTAGTTTGGCATGACTTGTTCTTCACAAACCCATGCTGGCTATTCCCTATCACTTTATTACCTTCCAAGTGTTTGCATATGATTTCCTTAATTACCTGCTCCATTATCTTCCCTGGGACAGACGTTAAACTGACCCCCCCCCCCCCCCCCCCCCCACACCGTAAATTAGCAAATATACCCCCAGCACAGAAAAGTCTTGTATACCCCGCGGGTTATACTTGTGCGCGGGGTATACAAGATTTTTTTTTACTCAAACAGCAAAAACCATGGGGTATATTCGCTAAATTACGGTACTCCCTGGCCTGAGGGTCTACTTTCTGCCTTCCCACCCTTTCCACTGGTCCACAAGGTACTCCTGCAGGTTCAGGAGTTCAGGGTGTCCCAATCCTCATCGTGTTGGTGTGGCCCAAGCAGCAGTGGTTCACGTCTCTCCTGAGCCTGTCCTGCGAGAGACCAATCACCTTCCTGTTGGACTCGGACCTCAGCACGCAGGACTTCAGCAGGCTTCATCATCCAAACGTGTGGTCCCTGCACCTAATGGCATGGAAGCTCCACGGCTGACAGTGGCAAAGCTGCAGTGCTTGGAGTGCGTGCAGGAGGTCCTGCTTGGGAGTAGGAAACCTTCCACTAGGGCCACTTACCTGGCCAAGTGGAAGCGCTTCTCTGTCTGGGCTGCCCAGAAGGGGAGATCGCTCATGGAGATCCAGATCCTGCTGGTCCTGGGCTACCTCCTGAATCTTAGGCTACAGGGGTTATCCTCCTCCTCAGTTAGGGTACACCCAGCAGCCATCTCCATGTTCCACCTGGGCTCCTGGGGCAAGACCCTCTTTGTGGATCCCATGGTACACAGGTTATTGAAAGGGTTAGAAAGGCTTTATCCACACATCCGTCAGCCTGATCCTCAGTGGGACCTCAACCTGGTCTTGTCCAAACTCATGGGACCTCCCTTCGAGCCCCTGGTGATATGCTCGCTGCTGCACCTTTCCTGGAAAGTGTCTGTCTCGCCCTCAAATTGGACATTCCCCCCCCCATACAGTTTTCTTTAAGGATAAGGTCAGGTTACGCCCCCCACCTGGCCTTACTTCTGAAGGTGGTGTCTCAATTTCACATGTCGCAAGATATTTTCCTCCCAGTATTTTATCCCAAGCCCCATGCTTCGGGTAAGGAGCAGGCGTTACACACTTTAGCTGTTAGGAGAGTTTTAGCCTTTTATTTATAAAGAACAAAGCCCTTCCATAAGTCCCCACGGCTCTTCGTAGCAATTGCGGAGAGGCTGCAGGGGGCCGGGGTGCCAGCTCCTCCCCTCACAGCCCTCTCCACCAGGGCTCAGGCCTCCTCTGCAGCTTTTGTGGCCCAGGTCCCTATCTTGGACATCTGCAGGGCTGCCACACGGTCTTCGGTCCATGCTTTTGCCAATCATTATGTGCTGGGCCATCAGGCGAGGGAGGACACGCTTCTGCTCAGTTGAAGGTTAGAACTCTGACCCTGCCTCCTTGGGTTTCTGCTAGGGAGTCACCTACGTGGAATGGACATGAGCAATTACTCAAAGAAGAAAAAACGGTTACTTACTTTCATAACTGTTGTTCTTTGAGATGTGTTGCTCATGTCCATTCCAAATCCCACCCACCTCCCCTTCTTCCGAGTAGTCCAATAAGAAGGAACCGAGGGGGTGGAGGGCCAGCAGGGGTATATATTAGCCAATATAGCAGTGCCATTTCACAGGGCTCCCCTGCTGGCCCAATGGGTACTGCTAAGGGAAAAAACTTCCAACAATGCGTGCATGCAGTGTGCACACACCTACATGGAATGGACATGAGCAACACATCTCGAAGAACAACAGTTATGAAAGTAAGTATCCATTTTTTCTTGGTTTTACTTCCTATGCTTGCTTACAAATCATGCTTCCTTTTTTCCTGCCCTCCTCAACACTTACCGAGCACGAGTATTTTGTTGTTGCATGCTTATTCTATCTTTTACTGTATAAATCATGAAGAGTATTAAGAATGTTCATTGATTCCTTTATGTATGTGTGTACTGTGGCAAGGGCCCTTCTTCCCCAAGCCACCACTGGGTAGGCCTCCTCCCCTTAGCCTCCAAGTTTGGAGGTTTTTTCAGCGGGTCTCAATGGTAGGGAGCCCGGCCAGGTGCCCACAGGCTCCCTCCCTAGCTGCCTTTACCTAATGCTGGTCAAAATTGTTCTCTCCAATTTCTTCCTCGCCGTCTCTCCACCACCTTCCTTTCGTCCTCTCACTCTCCCCCCCAGATTCCAATTGCTGAGGCTTTTAAAGGCCCTCAGACAGACAGCAGAGAAGTCAGCTGGCCCCAATTTGCCTGAGCCAGCTCCCTCCCAGCTGCATCTAATTGGGCTGCAGTTCTCTGCTTCTTCTCACTGGGTTTTTCCCTTTTGGGCTGACTTTTCCCTTCTCTGCAGCAGCTCTCTGGCCTGACCCTGTCACAGTACTTAAAAATCTACATTATGTTCTAGTGTAGTGCTTGTGTGTTATCATTTGTACAGGTAAAAACAAGAGAGTCGGGAAACAGCTAGCTTCTCAGAAGATCCTACAGCTACTGCACCCGCATGTGAAAAACTGGGGCTCTTTATTGCGTATGTATGGTAGAGAGAATAACAAGATGGTCAAACAGGTAAACATGATTTTTGTGACTGCTTTGTAATCTACCCTGTAAAAAGTTGCTATTTCTGTTGTGATACTTAGCAGTTAAAAACAAAAACTCATTCTCTTCTTTTTCTTGGCATAGCTTTCTAACCTTAATACTTTTGCATGTTACATATCTGTATTGATGAGTAGCCCTCAATGATACTATTCTTTCTGAATTAATAGACATAAGATCAGCACTCTTAAGGTATGTCTAGACTGCATCTCTCTGTAGGCAGAGGGATGCAGATTAGACAGGTCAACATTGCAAATGAGGCAGGGATTTAAATATCTTGTGCCTAATTTGCATAAAAATGGCCACCGCGTTTTACCAACTCAGCACTTTGTCGGCATAAAGCAGCAGTCTAGAGGGTGAATCTGTCGAGAAAGAAAGCCTTTTTCCCACACTGCCTCAAATGTGTCTGGCGTGGAGGGCCTATCAACCAGCACTGGCTCCTCCTCTGCACCGCATTCCTTGCAGGAGGCATAAGGGGAAAAGGCTTTCTTTCTCGACAGATCCCTCTCTAGACTGCGGCTTTGTGCAGACAAAGTGCTGAGTCGGCAAAACGCGGTGGCCATTTTTATGCAAATCCCTGCCTCATTTGCAATGTCGACCTGCCTAATCTGCATCCCTCTGCCGACAGAGGGATGCAGTCTAGACATACCCTTAAGGTGCATCTAGACAGCACCCTTCTGTCGGAATAAGTTACACAATTTGCGCTATGCAAATTGTGTAGCTTATTCCGAGTCTAGGTCAAAAGAGCTTATTTTGATATTTTGGTGCCGTGTAGACAGCACCAAATTTCAAAATAAATCACTGTTCCAACAAATCCCTTAACCCTCATGGAACGAGGGTTACAGGGACGCCAGAATAGCACGCCCGCTATTTTGGGAAATAGTGGGCACGTTTAAAGATGCAGCGTTCCTATTTCATGATACTTCCGGTATCCCGAAATAGTGCCGCAGTCTAGACGTACCCTTAGAGGTGAAATGTTTTCTCAAGCTCACTTGTTTGCTGTAAGCTGAAATGATAAACCCAAATTTTAGCAACTAATACACAGCTGACTTGTTTCATGTTCCTTTTCACTTAAAGAACAAAAAAAGAAAATCTTCCCTGCTTAAACTCTGTGATGTGTGACCATTTTAAAAATATACAAGAGAAAGTGATTTTTGGGTAATCCTTTTTTCTGCTACTACTAATGGTAATATTATGCAGGAAACGTCTGATAAAAGTGTGATAGAACTTCAGCAGTATGCCAAAAAGAACAAGCCAAATGTACACATCCTGAACAAGTTACAGGAAGAAATGAAAAAGCTGGCCCAAGAAAGGGTGAGTGCATACTGCAGACTTCTTAAAAATACATGTTTAAAATTGTCTTGTAGGGCCAGAACACACATTATTTTTAGAATTCTGAATCTGTTTCCTACACTACCTTAGGGTACGTCTAGACTACAGGCTTTTGTCGACAGAAGTTTTGTCGACAGATACTGTCGACAAAGCTTCTGTCGACAAAGCGTCTAGACTACATTCAGTTCTGTCGACAAAGCAAGCTGCTTTGTCGACAAAACCCTGTAGTCTAGACACAACCCTAGATGCAATAACGCCTTCTGTCGACAAAACTCTGTCGACAAAAGGCGTTATGCCTCGTAAAATGAGGTTTACCAGCGTCGACAAAACTGCTGAGTTCTGTCGACGTTATGTCGACAGAACTCAGCGGTAGTGTAGACGCAGGTATAGTTTTGTCGACAAAAGTCCACTTTTGTCAACAAAACTCTGTAGTCTAGACACACCCTTTATCTCCATCCCACCCTCCAGCTTTACCCCCTGCATCTGGACCCCCCATCCTTACAATCAGACTGCACCCTGCACTCAAACCCCCACCTTGATAAGCCCCACCCTCTTTATACCTGAATCAACCTGACAAGCCCACCTTGCTTCCCTGCCCCAATTGGTTGCACCTGCTTTCCCGTCCCCTCCTCTGAGCCCTACACCCAGACCCTCGCTGCTGAGCGTTAACCTCTTCACCTACTCCCCCCTGCATAGTCCTATTCCTCCTACATCCCTCCCACAAGCTCCTGTACATCCACTCTCCTCCTGCACCCAGATTGCCCCACTCAGAACCCTCTTGTAGTAATTTAGGATTTAATGTCGTGGTGTCCTGACAGGTCTCTGGCTCTGTTGATGATGATAACCAGAAGGCTGTGTGCATGTGTGCTCAGTGATGTGTGCTGTGTTGACTTGTGCAATTAGTCACCAAAGCAGACTCTGAGAAGGCCCCCAAAGACCACAAATCAGATAAGGATCAAAGGTGTCCAGCTAGGTTTATTGTAAAGTGAAGTACAGTAATAGTTGTCAGTAAACTCTACCGAACCCCTACACATATGTACTTGTAACAATGGACTCAGCTCAATCAGTGAGACACCCCACTGCCCCCCAGATGGACAAAGACTGTCCCCCCAAGACACCACTTTATATACAGGTGCAAACAAGTTACACATCACTCGTGGCGTGTCAGGTTACCACCCGCTGATGCTACTTAGATACCACCCATCGCCCTGTACCTCGTGGTTTGATTAGATCATCTCTATCCATCATTCTAGACTGGGGGTGGGCAAAAGCCTCTTAGTGGGCCGAATCCGGCCTGCCTAGGGCTTTGATTTGGCCCACGAGGCAGTTTCAGGCCCCGCCCCCTAGCTTGTTGCTAGCCCTTCAAACTGCTTCTATTTCAAGGGCTCAGGGCATCTTCCCCGCACCTGGCCTAGCAGCTGCAGGGAAGGCCCTTTCCTGTTCCCTTGGCTGCTAGGCAACGGGTTGCCTGACAGGCACAGGGAAGGCGCCAGTCCTTTACATAAAAGCACTTAAAAGGGCTTGCAGCTCCCCCAGCCTCTAATGAGTTGTTAGGAAGCCAGAGACGCGAGCCCTTTCAAGTGCTTCTATTTAAAGGGCTCGTCTTTTCGGTGGCTGCATTGCCTGACAGATGCAAGCCCTTTAAACAGGCTTGCAGCTCTCCCTCCCACTGGCCTGTTGCCTGGGACCTGCCCGGAGTCGTGAGCCCTCTCAACTTCTTCTCTTCAAAGGGCTTGTGCCTGCCGGGCAGCTGCTAGGCAATAGATTAGAAGTGGGGGGCATGGCTTTATTCTCCTCTCCTTTCACATATGTGATGGACAGTGCTCCAAGTGACCTCCAAATTGAACTTATTGACTTGCAGAGTGATGCCTTGCTTGCGGTGCAATTCACATGAACGCCGCTTCTGGAATTGTAGTCGTCTCTCAATGAACAAAGCTTTCCGAAGATCAAGGCTCATGCCCAAAAGACGCTTATATTGTTCAGAGCAATTTACAACTGCAAGCAGACATTTTCTGTGGTGAATTTCAATAAATCTAACAGATCTTCTATCACTGATGACCACCTTGCAGCAGTGCTCCGCATTGCAACATCAGAAATGACACCTGGCTTCACATTCCTTGTCAATGCACTTCACACGGAGTTGCATTTCTTCTTTTTCACTTAAATATAATAATGCACACAAGTTGCATGAAACTCGGGTGGGCAATAAGACAGATGTGGCTTCTGCCAGTGCTTATTATCCTATGCCTCTGCAGATATAGCCATTTAAGCTCCAGTTGGCCGTGGATCACCATTTCCAGACCATGTGAGCTGTAGGAGGCAGTGTCCCAATTCACACAGCACCCATTGGTTGGAGATGGTGCTCCACGGTGAATGGGAGCTTCAAGCGGCTTCAACGAAGATGCAGGTAAATAAAGCATTGGTGGCCTGCTGTGAACCATGTCTGCTCCACGGGTCAGATACTGCCCACCGCTGATATAACTAAAAATTTAGTGTTAGTGTTATTACAAATTTTACATTTTTCTCAAATTTTATTATTACAAATGTTACAAGAGTTGCCTTCCCTGATAATATTTGGATAATGTATTCAGTTAATTATTATTAAAATGTAATTACTTTGTTGTGTAAAAACAGTGGCATCTTTTTACAACAAATGGCCCCGCCCCTTCCACCCAAGGCCCCGCCCCTTCCAGATCTGCCCATGACCACTTCTGAAATTTGTGAAGTGGCCTCCCTTCAAAAATTATTGCCCACCCCTGGCCAAAAGCCTTCCTCTGCAGCCAGACTGAAGAGCAGCAGCTATTAGCTTTAAAGCTTAGAGTCACATACTCACATTCTATCTAAATTTCATTAAAATAATGTCACACTAGGCTGTTAAGAAGAGATCCTGTCCTAATGGCACCCGCTGTCACCAGATAAAGAAATAGATCTCATGATGAAACAGATCTCAAGAGAAAACATAGCTTAACAGCATTTCATCTGGCAAGAAATTGTTCACCAATATTAGAGTTTGTGGAATCTTCATTCTATGACTATTGTCCTCACTTTCCTATTGTTTGTCTGTATGATCTCTGTCTGTTTTTTAATTGTTTCTGTCTGCTGTATAATTAATTTTGCAAGGTGTAAATCAACTAAGGTGGTGGGGTATGATTGGTTAGGTAATTCTGTTAACATATGTTATGATTGGTTAGTAAAATTATACTAAAATAATTGGTTAAAGTATAGCTAAGCAGGACTCAGGAATGGCCTTACCATGAGGCGAACTGAGGCAGCCGCCTCAGGTACCAGACTGTGGGGGGACACACCACTAGTTCACACTTTTTGAACAAGGCATTTTAGTTGTTAGTTCTCCTCTATTGGGGTAGGTAGCAGAGCAGTCCCATGAGACTTCTGCCATCCTGCCAGTCTTTCTGGCCATGAATGTCACATTGGAATCATTTCAGAGAATCCATAAAGACCCATTGACCCACACTTTGCATTTGGAAAATCATTTAGACTCATTTTGCTGCAAGCATCAAATCTGTAAGCTCAAAAGCAAGAGAGCTAGAAGGAAGAGTCTGCTACTGGCACTAAGTTTTTAAATTTCATGCGTAAATCCCTTGTAATATGTGGCTGAAGAGACACCTGGTTGGACCAGACCCTTTGCTGCTGTAAACCAGCAGAGCGTCCATGACTCTGATGGTGCTACTCTCATTTATGTTATCTGTGATCTGTCCGGTTGATTTGAGCAATTCCACCTGGTATCCAGCAGAGATGGTTTTGCTTTGTAACTCTGAAACAAAGCTTTCCAGTTATGGTCAGCACTTGCTCAGGGATTTGAAGGGGAAGAGGCTCCCTGTTCTTCCCTCATCTTGGGGTACCAACAAAGAGCCAAATACAACCGAGCCCAAAATAATCAATACCACATTTTTTCTGATCTAATGGGCTAGCAGAAATGCCTCGTGTATTGATTCCTATGGACAGATGCAACTTCAAGCGTAATATTTTTGTTAAATTTTTGTAAAATGTACAAATGTTTTATCCTCATTGCTTCTACAAATGGATGCAAAAAAGTTAGAGGGGCCATTATTTTATTTATAATTTATCCAAATATACACTAAGTTACAGTCAGAACACTCAAGGTATGTCTACACTGCAGCGTTATTTCGGAATAACTCATGTTATTCCGAAATAACAAAGAGCGTGTCTTCACTGCAAGCCATTATTTTGAAATAATGTCAAGCTGGAGGACTTCCTACTCCAACTCCTGTAACCCCCATTTCATGAGGAGTAAGGGAAGTCAAAGGGAAAATGATCTTCCCTCGACTTCTTGCTGTGTAGACAACGCCAAACGCCGAATTAAGCTATTTTGCCTTCAACAACGCAACTGACATAGTTCAAGTTGCGTAGCTTAATTCAACTTTTGCCCTGCTGTGTAGATGTGCCCTCACCTAAAGCCCTTTACAATATTTTTAAAACACACCAATAAATACAACCCAATTACTTGACACCAAACCAAACAAGCTTCCTACACTATCCCAACTGAAGTCTATCACTACCCCACCATCTCCTCATTGGCAAGGAAGAAACATAGCAGGAGCATATAATGAAATATTAGTAACAGTTTAACATGGCTCTGTAGAAAGCCATTATGCTCTTCTGTGCCTTCCTAACAAGATAGCTGAAGTATGGTGTTTTACTTGTGCTACCCCATAACATTGCATAATTCTAAAAACAACCCTGAGACCACAACATAAGCACAAAACTGGAAAGCTTCCCAGAAAGGCCTCTGAAGGAGACCCATTCTGCTCCAGCAGCTACTTAGGAAACAACAGCATCATTGTGCTGCCCTGGCTGGCTCCAGAGTCACTCAAAAAAAATGGCTTCTCCCCTTTCCTGAACTCCCTGGGAGGGGCATCTCACTCCCTATTTGTTGCCGGGCAGACACTGAGTTTGCTTTGGCTTTGGCTCCCCCTCCCTACCAGGGACAGTGTGCCCTGAGTTGCCAGCAGACCGAGCCCCAGGAACCAAGGTAATCTCCTTGGGGGTTACATATAGAATGCTGATAAGGTGATTCCTGAGGTTTTTTGCAAGAGTGTGGCATAATCTCTGGCTGTAGTCTGTGGGATATGTAGATTGTAGTCGGTTTTTCACCCTTAGACCCTTAGGTATCATGTTCATCTGTTTGCACTTGGAAAGGGAGATGATGTCTGTTTGGATCTGTGCGAGTTTCTTTGTGTAGCTAATGGATTTCCACTCCATACAGCTGAATGCAGTGCCTTGCATGTTCAAAAGCTTCAGCGGGATAGCTAACGCGGACCCCTCTGAAGCTTTTAAAAGTTTAGTGTTAGTGTTGTTGTTATTACAAATATTCTCAAATGTTAGGCTTCGTCTAGACTGGCATGATTTTCCGCAAATGCTTTTAATGGAAAAGTTTTCCATTAAAAGCATTTGCGGAAAAGAGCGTCTAGATTGGCACGGACGCTTTTCCGCAAAAAGTGCTTTTGCGGAAAAGCGTCCGTGCCAATCTAGACGCGCTTTTCAGAAAAAAAGCCCCAATCGCCATTTTCGCGATCGGGGCTTTTTTGCGCAAAACAAATCTGAGCTGTCTACACTGGCCCTTTTGCGCAAAAGTTTTGTGCAAAAGGACTTTTGCCCAAATGGGTGCAGCATAGTATTTGCGCAAGAAGCACTGATTTCAGACAGTAGGAAGTCAGTGTTCTTGCGGAAATTCAAGCGGCCAGTGTAGACAGCTGACAAGTTTTTCCGCAAAAGCAACTGCTTTTGCGGAAAAACTTGCCAGTCTAGACACAGCCCATAAGTATAGCACTTTAAAATCATGCTATGTAAATTAGCGTAATGACTGAAGGCGCTGTAACAGCAATTTAAAGTTGACATTCTTAATTTTTTGGTGATTACCAATACAGGTTGGACATCTGTGATTCGGCACTCTTGTCTGGCAACATCTGTATTCTGGCATGATTTTAGTTAGCTAGATGTCCACTTATCATGAGTGTGGGCAAGTTTCCCAGGGTCCCATAAAGTTTGTTTAAAGTTACCAATCCTGTGCCTGTGTTCTGTGCTATTTAGCTTTAATTTACGCCCCCCCCCCCCCCTTCACAAATTATTGCCCACTTCTGTTCTAGACCCCTTCCTGAACCTGGGTCTGTAGCTGTGCGGAGTGTGGGTACCAAGATCTTTTTTAATGAGCTGGTTTTTTGTTTGTTTTTGCTTTGTTTTTAAACCCCTTGTTTTAACGTTGGATTTTTTTTTTTTACTTTTGTTTCTTTTAAAGGAGGAAACTCGAAAGAAACCCAAAATGACAATAGTAGAATCCATTCAGCCTGGTAGTGAACCTCTGTGTACTGTTGATGTGTGACCAGAAAACGTAACAAGTGGGGAGCAATAACAAATGGAGAAACTACGTTTTCAACAATTATTTAAGAATCTATTTGCTGCAGAATGCAAGATAACTGTAGAATCCCAGCTGCTTCAGTTATGCATTGTTCTTTTGCATCATCAGGGCAATATTACTTTTTTTTTTAACCCTCCTGAGATATGTATGTTTAAATGATTGGTCCTTAAACACATCCTTTCAAGACATCATGGATGACGTTCTAGGAAAAAGTGCTTGCTTAGATTTATCCTGTGTGAACATGCCTATCTTCTGCACATTTGCTCAAGTAGAGATCTTTATGATCAAATTCAATATAATTTTTTATATATACACACTCTTGTATGAACATGGCTAAAATTATTTTTCTGCAAAGTTTTGTTGCATTTCAGCACATAATAATATGCACTGATAAGACACTTTGACAAATACATGAAAAAGTGATGAGCAATGTTCATAATGCCATAGGATTAGCCCAGTAATGCTGTTTTTTATTTTGTGTACTGCATAGGCCAACTTGGCTGTTGCCTAGGGCACCGCCTTCAACGGGGTGCCCAATGATGACGTCACGCCATTGAGGGCCGTGCAGGCAGGGGGCGCCGATTGCGCATTCTGCCTGGGGCGCCAGCTGTTGCAGCCCTCCTCGGGCCGCCCCTGACTGCCAGGTTAAGTTGGGGTTTTTTTAAACTTGAAAAGAACAAGTGTACTTGGTAGTGTGGTAGTGTTAAGCGTAACAAGTTGGATATCCCAAATTGTTGGGCTTTATTTTAAAGGAAAAGTTATAATATAATGACAAATCAATTGTAAGGGAGAATATTTGGCCCCTCTATTTCAGTGTTTCCCAATCAGTGTGGTGTGAGGCCTGAAGTGCATGGAATTTTCTGGTGTGTATAATTTTTTGAAAAATTATATATGAGAACAAGAGATGGGGAGCTACCTTCTGATTGGCACCCTTCATCACTGACCCACCTCCTGGAGAGGAGCAACCATTCAGAGCTCAGTCTCCCTCAAATTAGAAGGAGGAATTATTTTGTGCTTAAAAGAACCAGGGCAGGGGGTGGCAGTGGCAAGAAACCAGTTTGATGATAGGGGGTCCAATGACTTATCCAAGAGTTGGTATTAGTACAGCTATACTTTACGCTCCCAACATCACTAGAGGGACAGAGAGATACAGTTCTTAGTCCTTGATAAATGCTGCAGGTCTGGTACTTGTCTGGACAGTTGTAATTCTTGAAATCTGAGTATAATATACTCCAGTATAATGACTGTGTGTGCCAATTGGATTTTAACACCTTTAATATCAACCCTGCTATTTTGGTAATTGGAAAACTTAATTTTTTTATCCCAAGCTAAAGTTCTGTAATTTATTGTGTCGGATATTTGACTTCAGGCTCATCTGTTCCTGTATTTGCATGCTTTTAGAAGTGGTATGCTCAGAGGTCTTAGGGTTAGGGTTGTTTACCTAACCCATAACTCACCCAATCTGTTTTCAGTACAGGATAAGGATAGGTGAAGAAGGATGATGCCTAAACCATTGTTTTAAAGTGACCTATCTAGAAAGTATTGCCTCTCCTTATTTTCTTTGAGTACAGCTTTAATCTCTATGGGTATGTCTACACTACAAAGTTAGTTCGAACTAACGGACGTTAGTTCGAACTAACTTTCATAGGCGCTACACTAGCGCTCCGTTAGTTCGAACTTAATTCGAACTAACGGAGCGCTTAGTTCGAACTAGGTAATCCTCATTCCACGAGGATTAAGCCTAGTTCGAACTTACTAGTTCGAATTAAGGGGTGTGTAGCCCCTTAATTCGAACTAGTGGGAGGCTAACCCTCCCCAGGTTTCCCTGGTGGCCACTCTGGCCAACACCAGGGAAACTCT